CACAGAATATATATATACTTCTTCAGAGTCCTTTGCAATATTGGAATTTTTGTAAGCAAGGCAAGTAAGTAGCCCATAAAATTCAGTACCTTTTTTCTCAGGGAGGAAAGATTTGGAACCCCATTAAAAAATAAATAAAAATAAAATTGGGCCCTAACCAGTTTGGCTCAATGGATAGAGCACCAGCCTGCAGACTGAAGGGTCCCAGGTTTGATTCCTATCAAAGGCATGTACCTTGGTTGCGGGCACATCCCCAATAGGAGGTGTGAAGGAGGCAGCTGATCGATGTTCCTAACTCTCTATCCCTCTCCCTTCCTCTCTGTAATATAAATATTTTTAAAAGAATTGAGAATTATACCCACTATACAGGTCCATGGGATGAAGAAAGCAAGTTACAGAACATATGTAGATTGAGTCTTCATTTTGAAGGGGGAAATGCAAAGGCCATATATTTGTATGTGCATATAACAGAGTATGGAAATACATACACCAAACTTATTGAAGAGTAGAATTTAAGGAGGATGAAGCAAAGGGAGTTTAAACACCTGTGCATTGTCCAGACATATTTTTTCTTTTTGACAATGAGTACTTGTAGTTTATTTAAATAAAGGGAAATATTTTAAAGAGCTCTTTTGTCAGAATAATAGCAGCTATTTGTCATTGAAAATAATGGACAAAACCCAAATTTCCAAGTGCAGTACAACTGCTAGCTACAGGGAAGTCAAGCAATAGACAGAAAAGGACAAACACTGTGTTCTTTGAAAAAAAAAAAAAATCCTGTTTTCACGCTTCTCTTCATTTGGCATTCTGTCACCTAAAATGTAATTATTCAGAAGCTGGTTTTCAGAAAGCTTCCCCTTCTGAGAATAATGCTTTTTGGAAACAACTTGGAAATGATTCAAGAACTGACTGCAGGTCACAGTTGCGTTGCACAATAAGTTTTATAGCCTGCCCCCAAAGAGATTGGATCACAGAACTAGAAAAGATGGAGAGATCATGCCTCACTTGCACTTGGCTTAGATTTAATCTAGTAATCATAGATATTCTAGTTGAAGCAGGATGACTGATTGCATATAAAACATATAAATACAAAAAAAACACAAACACACACACACACACACACACACACAACTCTACAACATTTTGAAGAACTGAGTTGTCTGAGATGTCTTGGTAAAAAAAAAATGCCTAATTGAAAAAAGGATGTCTTGTTGGGGGGCGGGGGGGAATGTCTTACCTTTATAAGCAATAAGGAACTAATTTGCTGTGTTCTACAGGTAAAAGCCTTCTTGGAGATAAGAGGTTCTATAGAGTATAGGAAAAGAAATTTTCCAGGGCAGAATTTAAAAATGGGTAGTTAAGAGATTTGTGTTGTATTTAAATTTGCATTTGAAATTTTCATCTTAATTGAATACATAATATATGAAATGAGATTGAGCTGATCTACAGATTACTTTTAACAAAATTTGTCCTTCTATGCCAAACGTCAGATATTTTAAGCATCAGAAAGAACAATAACTATTGGTGATTGTAAGATATCAAATGAACAAAAATCCATGAGTCCATAGTGATATCCAAAAGAAAAAAGGAATATAACAAGAAAATCTCTTTTCTTGTAGAATGTCGGTTAATAAAAATAGAAAAGATACTTAGAAAACTACCATTTTGCATTCCCAAGGCAATAACTGATTCAGACAAGATCAGTAATATAAGCTAAAGCCCTTTATGAAAAATAGGGTATCCACACAGCACCCAATAATCATCCACAAATACTAAACATTTGCAGAGGAAGAAAAACAAACTTTATAGTGAAGAAATCTCTACTTAGCAATTTAGCCAAGGGATCACCCTTATTCCTTTAAAGGTCTTTTTCCCCCTTTCAAAAATTGATTTTGGAGGGTAGGGAGAGAAACATCCTATGAGGGCCTTGACCGGGGGGATTGAACCCAAACCTGGGTATGTGCCCCAAACTGAACCACACCTGTCAGGACAGGGACCACTCTTAAATTCAGTAATAGTAGGCAGCCTGATATTATGTTCTTTGATGTAAAGCAACATAACCTTCTTGCTAAGAATGGTTAAATTGAATCCAATCAAGCTTTACACAATTTACAGGATACAGAAGAACTAGATGTTAAGACAATATAAGAAACAACCAAATCCAGATTGTGGGACCATCTACAAGATAATTGTCCTGACTTTAAAACCCAATGTCATGTTTTAAAAAGAAAACTAGCCGAAACCGGTTTGGCTCAGTGGATAGAGCGTCAGCATGCGGACTGAGGCGTCCCAGGTTCGATGCTGGTCAAGGACATGTACCTTGGTTGCGGGCATATCCCCAGTAGGGGGTGTGCAGGAGGCAACTGGTCAATGTTTCTCTCTCATTGATGTTTCTAGCTCTCTATCCTTCTCCCTTCCTCTCTGTAAAAAAATCAATTATATATATATATATATATATATATATATATATATATATATATATATATATATTAGGTCTAGTAATAATTAATGTCGTTTTCTAATACTTTTTTAAATTTAATTTATTTAAACAATACAACAAAATTTAATCAACAGTATAGTTGCCGTTGTTTTCTACTACTTGTGCCCAACGCTCAGGAAGCATTTTAATCCCTCTGTTGTAAAATTCTTGTGATTTTGATGCAAAAAATTCGGTCAATACATTTTTGAGGCATTCTTCATTATTAAATTTTTTTCCAAGAAGAAAGTTTTGCAAAGAACGAAACAAATGGTAATCGGAAGGGACAATATCAGGAGAATATGCAGGTTGAGGGAGAACTTCCCATTCCAACTGGTGCAGTTTTTCAGCAGTGATTCTTGCAGTATGCGGTTGTGCGTTATCGTGGTGAAGAATTATCCCCTTCCGATTAATCAGCGCGGGTTCTTTTTCTCTTAAAGCTTGGGCTAACCTTTCCAATTGGGCACTATACACTGCACTTGTAATGGTTTGGTTAGATGGTAAAAGTTCATAATGAAGAATTCCTTTAAAATTCCACCAAACACACAACATCACTTTTTTCGCATGCAAGTCAGGTTTTGGCGTGGGCTGCGGAGCCTCATTTTTGTCCAACCATTGAGGCCACCTTTTCAAATTAACATACAGTACCCATTTTTCATCTCCGGTAACAGTTTGCTCTAAAAACGGCAAACGGTTTTGACGAGAGAGGAGGGAACTGCAAATTGTGACTCTTTGATTACGGTTGTTGTCGGTCAACTCATGAGGAACCCATTTTCCAAACTTTTGGACTTTGCCAAGTGCACGCAATTGATTGGAAATTGTTTTTTGTGAACAATTTAAAGTTGTCGCAAGCTCTTGTTGGGTAATTTGAGGATTTTGCACCAAAAGAGCTTGAAGAGCTTCTTGATCAAAATTGGACACACGGCCTCAACCACTCTTGTCATCTAACAAAAAATTTCCTTCGCGAAATTTCTCAAACCAACGCTGGCATTTTCTGGCGCTAACTGCATCTTGACCAAGAGCACTACAGATGTTTTTTGCAGCCTCACTTGCTTTTCTTCCTAATTGGAACTCGTAAAGCATGCAGTGCCGAATATGCTCTTCATCCGCCATCTTCTTAGCCCTAGTTTTGCAACAAAAACCAAACACAAACTTTTTCAAGCAAAACTTGTTAATTGCACTTCACACGTTCTGTAGATACCACGTGTTTGAAGGTTATGTCAATACAAGTCAACGCCAAGCAAGATTTTAAACGAATGTTTAAAAACGACATTAATTATTACTAGATCAGAGAGAGAGAGAGAGAGAGAGAGAGAGATTTTTTAAGAGACTATCCTATATAATAAAAGCCCAGCAACCTAAAGGCAGAACCAGAATGACCAGGTGACCAGTTGTTATGACGCACACTGACCACCAGAGGCAGGTGCTCAAGGCAGGAGCTGCCCCCGGTGGTCAGTGCACTCCCACAGTGGAGTGTGGCTTGGCTTATAGGGATCAGCGACTGCTCCCACAGAGGCTGATTCCTGCAGGCCATGCCCCCCACCAGTGCATGAATCTCATGCACTAGGCCTGTAGTTCTGGAATAAGAGATCTACAACCAAATACAGTGACATTGACTGAGAGCCTCATTGGGGAAAAGGGAGAAGGGGCTATTAAAAACTGTCAAGCCCAGCCAGGTGACTCAGTTGGTTTGTCTGTCTCCTGTACACCAAAGATTGCAGGTTTGACTCCCGGTCCGGGCACACACCTAGCAGGTTCGATCTCTGATCTGGGTGAGCAATCCTCAGCCTGGGGTTATACAGAAGGCAACTGATTGATGTCTCTCTCTCTCTCTCTCTCAAAATCAATTAAAAAACAACAACCATATCCTTGGGTGAAGATTTTTTTAAAATTCTTGAAACAATATTTGATATTAAGAATTACTGACAATTTTCCTTGCGTTTGTGTGATCATAGTGTAGTTACATAAGAGACTCTTCCATTCATAGGAAATAAATGGTTAAGTTTTTAGAAATGAAATATCATAATGCCTGAAATTTACTCTAAAATAGTACAGCTGTATGGTGAGGAGAGGAAAGATGCCAAAATCTGTCTTTGTCCTTCAAAACCAGCAATATGGTTTAACCTAATAAATACATATAAAGAGTTAAAGCAAGAAAGCATAATGTTAGCAATTATTGAATCTAGGTGGTTTCTATACAAGTGTTTATTGTACTATCCTTTCAACGTTTCCATGTAATAAATATTTTATAGTAAAAAGTTGGAGGGAATTCTAAGAAATATTTTCCTTAAACCACATCTATCAAATTTACCTTAAATTTTAAAGAAGTACCTTAACTGTTTTTAAAGAAGTGGTTTGCTTTCCCTCCTTATTACCATCCATTTGAAGAAAAGTACTAAAACCTGCTTTAATTATTGCAAATAATATTCTAATGCTAGACTAGGCCCAATATAAATCCCACAATAATCAGTACAAGAGTTATAGGTGTAAACATCTGGTTTTATGCCCAAATAACAAACTTAACAGCAGTAAAACAAATCATTTATTACAGCATATAATGTTATATTAAATTTACACAATGATATATAAAAACACATACTGTTTATATCACACAGTAATTTAACATCAACAGGAATATCAAAACAAATACTACTCATGCACAAAACATGCTTGTATCGGTATAAAAAAGCAATTTTACACAATACTGTTTATCAAAAACAATTCTTTTTTTTTTTTTTTTTTTTAAGCCCTTCCTTCCAGACAGGGTCAGTGGTCCGATCTGGACTGGATTGCACTAACATGTGTGGGCCAAGGCTTAGGTGGCACAGAGCTCAGTGAGCAATTGTGGGCTTGCAGTCATGCCCAAGGTTATTTCATGAGGAGTGAATTCCTTTGTACCCACGGACCAAAACTTTATCCAAAAGGCAAGTCCTCCAAGGGAGGAATGGTTGGATTTGCTGCAAATGAGGGAGGAAAAAAGGCATCAAAATGTTGGATCAAACAGCCCTAAAAATGGTTACCCTAACCAGGGCCTAGGCACAAGTTTAGTGAATCCCTTCGAGGGTACTACCAGCCTCTCTATCCAAGTCACTATTAGCTCTCTGGATTTAGGGTCTGGTCTTCAAGTTCTGAGTCTAGTAAACCAACCACACAGTTCTGAGACGGCAGAATGGGAGCGTATGACTGTCTGAGAAATGTTAAGACTGTATAAAAAAAAAATCAGAGAAAACGAACACACTCCCTCATACCTACTTCACACCGTAATGTGATACCTGCCCCTCAACAAGAAAGCCCTCCCGGAGACACTGCCCTAAAGAACCAAGGAGCAAATGTATGTCCTAAATGCCATCTACCTGACCTTCCGGTCAAAAAGTCTCATCCCAATGAAACCATCACAGATGCTCAGGAAAACTTAAAATAACCATCACCACACACACACACACACACACACATACACAAAAATTATGTATGCATTTTTCACCACCATTGAAAAACCTCCATTACTGACTTCTAACCAGCAAAAACACTCTTCACCTTCCATTCAAGGCACCGGTGTGTCCATACATAATGAAGAAGGGATGTTCTTGTACTTGGGATTCCTCTTCGCCAAAGGGAACGAACTCCACGATCACACCCAAAAACTCTAAGACGCCGTCCCCTTTCCCTTCGACCAGAGGTCCTCACACCGTGGTCATCAGCTTCAGAGAGCCGGAGCGGAAGCGGAGGATCTTCTTCTTGAGGTTGTGGGAGGCCTTGATTTTGACGAAGGTCTTGGCGGGGTTGCCGCGGCGGTGCAGGTCCGGGGGCCCCGCCGCGACCCCCGGGATGGGGAGCGTCTGCACGAACTGGGACCACAGGAGGCCGCCGCTCTCCTCCGAGTCGCTGGAGCTGGTGCTCTCGCCCGCGAACTCGGCCTCCTCGCTGGCGCTGGACTCGCTGTCCCCGAAGCAGTTGGTGGTGTAGTTGCTCTGCTCGTCCTCGCTCGTGTCCACCACGGTGGAGTGGAAGAGCGACTCGCACTCGGCCGAGTACTCGGAGTCGCTGGCCGCATAGGCGTAGGGGCTGCTGGCGGCGGCGAAGGGCAGCGCCACGGGCCCCGCGCACAGCCCCGCGCCCTCCCGCCGGGCCCGCCGCGCCCGCCGCAGCGCCTCTTCGTACGAGGCCTCGGCGGCCGCCCTCCACCGCCGCGAGTCCGTCCGCTTGTGCCGGGGCTTGGCCACCACCGCCTCGCGCCCGTGGTGCCCGTGGCCGTGGCCGTGGCCGTGGCCGTGCGCCCTGCTCCCGGGGCCCCGGTGCGCGGCCCCCAGCGGCCGGCTGGGCACACCCGCGTCGCCGTGGGCGCCCCCGCTCCTCCTCCCCCGGGCGGAGGACACCTTCCTGAGTTTCTTATTTGTATCCGTGTCATCGGGGAACCGGCACTTCTTGCCGGCCGCACGGGTTTTCTCCCGCACGGTGGGCAGGGCGCCGCCGCCATCGGGGCTGTGGAGGGCCTGCGCCCGGTGCTTCAGGGCGGAGCCTCTGGGGGGCGCTGCAGTCCGGGGGCCCCGGTGCAGCCGGACTCCGGGCGGCGGCTGTGGCTGGGGTGCAGGGATGAAGTGCGCCTTCACCAGAGGCCCCTCTTCCAGGCTCTGAGAAGAGGAGCCCTCGCTTTTGAAATCCAGGGCAGGCCGCTCTTCCACGGCGGAGGGGAAAGCTGAGGATGGGGGTGCGGGCGGGGCAGGAGGGGGTGCGGGTGGAGGGGCGGCCTGCAGGCTGCTTTTCTGTGCCGGCTTTTTCAGGGGCTGCAGGACTTTGTTCTCCTGCAGCGGGGCGAGGCCTCGCCCCGGGCTCTCTTTTGGAGGGGCAGCTGGGACCTGGCTGCTCTCCTTGGGGGCCTCTCCTGTCCCGGCAGTGGGGCCGCGCCCATGCTCCTGGGAGGCCAGCTTGGCATGCTTGGGTGGGTGCTTGCTTTGAAGGTCAGAGGCGGCACCGGGCGGGCTGCAGCCCTCGGGCAAAGGCAGCCTCTTGCTTTCCAGTTGGTCTGCCTTCGATTCTTTAGACCACTGCTTCGGTGGGGAGAACGTCGTCCCATGGTCCAAGGAGGGGACCGAGGGCAGAGGCGCCTGTTTGTTCTTAAGGTTCCCAGGATTGCCCTGGGGGACAGCCCCAGTCACCCGGACACAAACGCTCCCGTTCCTCAGAAGTCCCTTGGTGGGGTCCGCGTTCACGCTGGTTCTGGGCTTGTTGGTCCTCACCGGGTGTGTCTTCTTCTGCACCAGGCTCAGAATGTAGCCGTCCATTTTCTTGCTGGATGAGGGATGGGGAGCAGGCCACACGCTGCCCGGAGACGGTAAAGACGCCTCCGTCTTGATGGCGTCCAGCTCAGATCCGACACAAATGTCACCGGTGTGGTTCCCCAGCCTCTCCTCTTCCCTCGGAGGGCTGCCTGTCAGGCAGAGGAGAAACATGGGGCTCTGCACGGCCACGGCATGGAGCGGGCTGGGGTAGCGATAGACGTCATTCCCGTTTTTAGACACCAGATCGCACTGGTACTTGGGATTCACATCTGCAATGACACCAAGGGGATTAAATTGTGATGTGGATGGGGAACAGCCAACTGCCTCTGAGGCCTGGTCTTCACAGTGGCCTTCTGTATAGTCCAACCATCCTATGAGATCTGGAAAACATGTAAAGGTACACTCTGAGGAAATGAACGGGTCGGCACCAGCTTGACTCTGGCCAACTTCTAGGAAGACAAGTTCATGGGTAGAGAGAGAATGCCAAGAATCAACAAATACAACATGAGCTTTACATACAGTGCAGACTACTGGAGGAGGGGGAAAATATTTCACAAAGAAAATTTTATATAATGTAGCTTCTGAAGAAAAAATATTCAGCCATTAAAAATGCTTTATCTATTTGTATCTATATCTACCGTGTTTCCCCAAAAATAAGACATCCTCCGAAAATAAGACCTAGCACATGGAAAGATAAGATATCCCCTGAAAATAAGACCTAGTGCAACTTTGGGAGAAAAAATTAATACTGTATAAGACACTCTTATTTTCAGGGAAACGGTATATATGTATTAGAGGAAGAGAGGGTAAAAGAGAGAATTGATTTGTTGTTCCACTTATTTATGCATTCATTGGTTGATTCTTGTATGTGCCCTGACTGGAGACCCACAACCTTTGGCAAATCGGGATGATGCTCTAACCAAATGAGCTATCTGGCCAAAGCCAAAAATACTTTCAAATTATCAAATAATATGGGGAAACACTTTAAAGTTTAGTGAAAATCAAGATATAATACCAAACTATGATTATAATTTTATTAAGATTGAATAGATGTAGCCAAAACCGGTTTGGCTCAGTGGATAGAGCATCGGTCTGCGGACTGAAAGGTCCCGAGTTCGATTCCGGTCAAGGGTATGTACCTTGGTTGTGGGCACATCCCCAGTAGGAGGTGTGCAAGAGGCAGCTGATCGATGATTCTCTCTCATCAATGTTTCTAACTCTCTATCCCTCTCTCTTCCTTTCTGTAAAAAATCAATAAAAATATTTTAAAAAAAAAAAAAAAGATTGAATAGATGTAAAAAGAAGTCTGAAATGAAGCACACCCAGCTGCTAATTGTAGCATCTTAATGTGGTAAGAAAACAAGCGGTATAAACTTTCTCCTTTGTTTTCTATTCTCTAAATTTTCAGTAAATATGTATATTGTATTATAACTGGAAAAATAAATTTTTTGAGTCATTTTTTCTCTAGACTACTTTCCCCTTTTTTCTATTCCTGGTTTCTCTTTAAAATACTTCAGATAAATTATACTTTCTATGGGCTTTCTTCTCATTTTGTATTATTTATTTTTTTAAAAATATATTTTATTGATTTTTTACAGAGAGGAAGGAGAAGGATAGAGAGCTAGAAAAGTCGATGAGAGAGAAACATCGACCAGCTGCCTCTTGCACACCCCCTACTGGGGATGTGCCCGCAACCAAGGTACATGCCCTTGACCGGAATCGAACCTGGGACCTTTCAGTCTGCAGACCGACGCTCTACCACTGAGCCAAACCGGTTTCGGCTCATTTTGTATTTTTTAGACCTAATTCTTAATGGCATATGTTCAAATATTACTGTCAATTGAAAGGTCAAATTTCAATACAGACTAATCAAATTTAAATAATAATATATTTTCAATAGTGACACTAACATAAAAACAGTATTTTTTAAATAAGAAGGATTTTTAAAAAATATATTTTATCGATGTTTTTACAGAGAGGAAGGGAGAGGGATAGAGAGTTAGAAACATCAATGAGAGAGAAACATCAGTGTGCCTGCAACAAAGGTAAATGCCCTTGACCGGAATCGAACCTGGGACCCTTCAGTCTGCAGGCTGACTGCTCTATCCACTCAGCCAAACCAGTGGTTAGGGCAAGAAGGAATTCTTGATAACACTTTAATAGATTAAGTAGTGGAATTAATAAATAAATGTTCACATCATAAAAATATAGATGCCAAAATACAATGAAATCAAGCTTTCTTGCTTAATTAAGCGATTTTGATCTCCTATCGTGGTGAATATTAGAATTTTCAAGTCGCTTTAAATGACCTTCAGTTAGAGAAAAAAAATCAAAGTTTTTATTATTATGTAATTTGTCCTCCATTATATTTATTCCTCCAATGCTGAAAGCCTATGTGCCAGATTCTATGTTAATTTTAAGGGAAAACTCCATGAACCTTAATGATAATTAGCAGTTTTGGGGAAAATATAGTCTAGACTCAGAAGTAACATAGTTAATTTTTAAAGAAATGATCATTATAAAAGTGCCATATCTACTCCCCTCTCCACTTCCATTCCCAATAAGTAGCTTATTGTAAGGAGAACCACCTCTTGCTAATATCCTTGCCCAGCCCTCCTCCTCTTCTACCCTAAGGCCTATCCGCCTTGCTTAAAGCCACATTAAACTACACTTTACCATTTCTCCCTTTTCCCTACTTAGCGTTAAGGAACAAGACAGACATCCCAGCCCCCAAGACCCAGCCCAACCGTCTCAATTATGTGAAGATGTAGCATTTGGGAGAGGGGGCTGTCTTTGAGGAAAACCCATACCAAAGTGCCTTTAATGGGTTTGCAAGTTTCCTTCTGAAACCAGATCTGTAGAGTGAAGGGGAGCAATTACCAATGAACTTGAGGTCCAGACATTCTAGATAACCCTGATCTGTTGCTTCCCCAAATGACTGCTGCTGACAGCGCACCCTGTACAAATACAAAGACACCAGCCAATTAGCAGCTTCAGTTGTTGGTGTGTTTGCATTGCCTGGACTGAGGAATCCGGCCTTAGACCCAGGTGGAGAACACAAACCAAGAGTACAGTGACTTGTGCCAGCACCTACAGCTCCCCTACTCTCCGTATTCCCTCTGCTCTTTTGAGGAATCAAAACAAAGCAGAACTAAGGGAGGAGTCCCGAGTTTCAGCAACAGCTCTGCCATTCAGCAGATGAGGAGCCTCTGACAAACTGCATCCAAATCAAATCTCCCCCCTTTTCAATGAAAAAGTTGAACACCAACAACTTCTGAATTCCCTTGGTGTGATGTGATGGAAAATCATGCACTTGGCAGTTAGTCCAGAGCATGAATCCTGCCTTTAACACTCACTAGCTATTTAGCCTTAAACAACATACCTAATCTAACCTCACTAGGCCCATTTGCTGATACATAAAGTGGAGCTAACAACACCTGCATCCTGCCCAACAGCTGGAAGGAGCCAAAGGAGATGAAAGTACACAGACTCTCCAGTACAGTGACAGTGATGCATAGCAGGAATGCAGAAACTCTTCCAGGACCAACAATAGCATGAGTCTCTGTGGAGGTAACTGCAAGGACAGCCCAAAATGAGAAACAATGGCACATGGCCTAAGGTACATCCCCTCTGGCCCGCTAAAAGGGGAGCTGCCATCAGACAAAGCCTTCTGGAGATCGTGGAAGCGCCACTGCTCCCTGACGTGCCAAGCAGCCCTTGGCCAGGCTGGCAGATATATTTACCTTAATGTAAGCTTCAGCTTTAAATTGTTCAAGAAAAAAGAAGATCCAAAGTGGTTTTCAAAAGAAAATACAAGCAAGTGAAAGCCTACCAAAGCCTGTTAAGCAAAGGCTCAGAAACAGAGCTCAAAACTTACATAGGGATGGGAAAATAAAGATAAAAATTATGAACAACAAATATGTAACTATCAACAAGTGAATCTAAAAACCAAGGGAATTAAAAAATCTGATGAACAATATTAACTGGTGAATATAATATAATAGAATCAGAGGTATGGAAGGGGAGTGGACTAACGATTCTTAGGGAAAAGAAGAGTAGGGGGTGTGGGAAGAGACTGAACATAACTGTGCACCTATGGATGAGGACAATAGGGGGTGGAGAAAGGGCAGAGGGTGGGGTGGGAACCTGGTGGAGGGGGAAAAAATGAGGAACTTTTGTAATAATCTGAACAATAAAGATTTATTAAAAAAAAAAAAAGATGAGCTGAATATAAAGCCACGTGGCACCCGAAGACCAGAATAGTGGGCATCTTGGTTCTAGATGCAGCTGTGGGCCCTACATGTGGCAAACCGATGGAATTCTCGTCGCTTTTGTTTTTCAACAGTAAAAGGGGTTGAAGCTACATAACCTTTAAGGAATCTTTGACTCCTTCCAATTAAAAAATTGTGTATTAATTCTAAAAAGGCTTACCTGCAGATTTGGGGCAACTCTCTGAGATCGTCAAGGTTGCCTCCAAGGGACTGCAAAAGCAGGTGCTGGAATGACAACTGGATAAGCACTCACTGAAGACCGAGTTAGAGGAATTGGAAAGGGATCCTGAAGCCCCATCACTCAGCTCATAAAACCCTACAAAGAAAGACACCATTTGGAATTAGGATCATGTCATGCAATAATACACATCACAATGTGTTAAAGCTTTGAGAAAAGGTAAGAATGGAAAACTAAAGGAGGGGTGGCTCACCGGACTTAGTGTCCCGATTTTATGGTTCTGTTTCAAGCAATTCTTGGAAAAAGCAAAGAGCGCATAACTGTGGATACATTTCAAAGTTACTCTCCCAGTCCAATTGACCCCCCTTGACCCAACCTTTAAAGATGTGCAAGGAAAGAGACTTAGATCTATCACAGCCCCAACATGATCATGAGTGCTTCAGAAAGAATAACTTGAAGAGAAAACAAATTTAAGGAGCCAAATGGTTTAGAAGAAAAAAGAAAAAAAAAAACTTTCAAAGTGGTCTCAGGAAGTTGAAGTGTGACTAATTTTCTAGCCCAGTTCTGACTTTCTCAAATTTCAAAGGAGGACCGCTCTTCCAGAAATGTGAATAGAACCTTTTATTTTTAAACTCGGGGGGGGGGGGGGGGGGGGGGACTCCAGTCAGATCAATCTCATTATTAAAAATGTTGTAGTCTGGTTTTAGTTCCCTCTCCTACAACTAAATGGCAGGCAGACGGCCTTTGGATTCTCCCTGGCCTGGAAACACGCTCCATTGCCATTTGCAGGGCTGGGAACGTTGAGCACAGGGCCCAGGTGGAAGTCCTGCGTGCAGACGCTGTGGTTGTGCTCACACTCTCACCTGAGCTGGGCCGGCTGTCTGTCTCCAGGTGCTCTTCAGAGGTCTTTTCCACGTCGAGTCTCAGGTCACTTATCTGCTTGTCAAGTTCTTGCAACTGATTCAACAAACCAGCATCTCTCCTCCTCAAACAATTCTGATGAGGGAGAAATGGAGAAAGGAAACATGTTGAACACATTCTGGTGACAAAGAGCCAGAAAGCTGCTCTAAGTCTTCGAATGACCATTTAGAGCACATGTGTCAAACACAAGGCCCGCGGGCCAAATCCGTCCCGCCAGGCCTTGCAATGTGGCCCGCACCGCGCTGTCATCACTGCACTCGCTGTCATCACTGCACTCCGCTGCGTTTCCATCACAATGACAGTTTATGACTGTTCAGTAAACCATTCGGCCCGCGATTTCGGCTGGATTTTAGATTTTGGCCCCTTCTCTGATTGAGTTCGACACCCCTAATTTAGAGAGTTCTCCAAGTCTTCCAAAGCTAAAACTGCCTGGGTGACCTGAAATAAAGGAAAAACTTCAAGTCCTATGTTTAATTCCACTTTCTCACACTTGATGGTGATATCAAATTTCTTCATAAAAGCAAGACTTGCTCTCGGTTTCGACTAATATATACAAAGTTAGGGAAGAATGAAAAAAATGCACTGAGATTTTATGTAATCTGCACTGCGTCCATGTTTTACAAAATAGGACTTCACAGTCCACGCCTTGATTGGAAGTCGGAGTATAACAGATTTCCTATCTTCCTTAGGTGAGACTTTCTGGCCAAATGTCCTGCAGAGCTTTGTTTTCTATTAGTTGCTTTGTGGAGTTTAATCAGTCTTAGGGCCTTTGAAAGTGAGAAACTAATACTAATAGCCAGTGCCAAGTAAAATGTGAGCTGGCAGAATTCAAAACCCTCGAGGGAAGGTCCATCCAGATTTGAACTCCACTCGGGTTTCCAAAGGTGACAGATCTGTAGCGCTAACTCACACCGCCACCTAGTGCTTCCTGCTGCTGGAAAAGGGGGAGGGAAACACACACACACACACACTCAAAAAGGCATCTGGTTCAAATCACAAATGCCAAGTCTACAAATGAAAATAGTGCCACAAACACTGGCCTGGAATTCTCCTGACACGCTGCTGCCCCGCTCCCCTCCAGGGACCACGGGAATGTGCCTCTCACAACCCCCCTAAGTTTCAGGAAGACAAAAAGGGGCTGTTGTACAAGACAATGCATGAGATGTCAGCGACCAGGCACCGCTGGCAAGCACTGGCTCATCAAATCAGCATTACATCCAAATATCTGGTCTAATCCCAGCGAAACACAGGAACATGCCAAGGTAGAGGTGTTACAAGAACCACGATGCATGCATTGCTACTCCTCTCTCTGTGTGTCCTTTGACTTAAAAAGCATTGGTATAAACCATCTGCTTGTCTGCTAGGATGAGTTCCTTCAGGAGGAAAAAAAAAAAAATGAACCTAACGGAATAAGAGCACTTTGAGGCTCAAGAGAGACAGAAATTATCTGGAAAGAGATAATCCAAGACAACCACCCGGCATCGCTGCCGCGTTCCTTTCTGCAGACGGGACCCTATCTGGCATGTGTCTAGTTTCAGATCCTATCACATGGTCAGATAAGGATTTTGTGTGTGTGTGTGTGTGTGTGTGTGTGTGTGTGTGTTTCCCCCTGCTGCTGCTTTCAAAACTACATTTTTTGAGGTCTCTGAAACAAAGCTGCCGCCATCATTCCGAGGCGGGGTCAAAAGCTGTTCACCGATACACGAAGCGCCAAAGTTCTTCCTCCTCCCCGTTAATGAAGATGACACGGGAGGACGGGGGCGCTGGCAGGACCCCAATAACATACATGCTCCCCGCCAGCAGGTTCTCTCCTCGCCCACCTCCACCTCCCGCCACAGCCAGCAGCACGTATAAACTATATAAGAGGAGGGGCACTTTTCCCAGCCAAATTTCCACCCGCTGCGCCTGTGTCAGCTGCCTGGTACAAAGGGCTTCTCTGTGCACTGAAGCAGCGGCCCCAGCAGAGGCTGGCATGCCTAGGAGAGCCCCGGGAGGGGCCGGGCTCCTACGTGCGCTTCCGTGCGATCGTAAAAAAGCAGCAGGTCCCCTCCCCGGCTTTTGTCCCCTCTCGGCGGGAGGACCTGCAGCTGAGGCGGCCTCCGGAGGAGATGGCATTTTAAAGGAGGGCTCTGCAAACCCTCGGGGAGAGAGCGTGCAGTCACTCGTCTGCACAGGAGAGGTCACATCCAGGCCACTCCGAGAACCCCGAGGGGAGAGAGGCCACCCCTGCCCTGCGGATCGCACGGGATCGCCACCCCCTCACCTGGCACAAAGCGGGGCGCAGGCAGGAACCGGGATCCGGGAGGGCGGGGGTCCCGGGACCCGAGAGAATTTCCCCAGCCAGAGGCTCGGCACTCCCGCGCCACCCCTGGGTCACCTGCCTGGCTCCCACCTCCGGGCACGACCTACCAATTGCTTCCGCAGCAGCAGAATGTTCTCCTCCAGGAACTTCTCCTCCAGGCGGCTGCGCTGCGCCGCCTCCCCCGGCGGCAGCTCCCCGGCGCGGGGCGCGGCGGCCGCACCCCCGGGGCCGCGCAGGGCGCCGCGGACCAGCAGCTCCTGGCGCTGGCGCAGGTACTCCAGCTCCGCCAGCCCGGCCAGCGTGGCCTCCTGCCGCTCGCGGGTGCGCTGCCGCTCCGTGTCCGCCTCGCCCTTGTCCCGCCAGCGCCCCTCGGGCTCCGCCGCGCGCTGCTCGCCCCGGACCGGCGCCGGCGGCTCCAGCTCCCGCGCCGCCACCCCTCCGGCCGGACTGGGCTTCATGGCCCCCGGCCCCGCAGCGGGCACCCGTCACCACGGCCGGGATGGTCGGGGCGCAGGAGCGGGGCGCTCAGCACCGCGGCCGCGGGCTCATGCCGCCCGGGCGGCGCGACACCAGCGGCGGCGGGGGCGGCGGCCGGCAGCGCTCGTGGCCCGCGGGCTGCAGCCGTCCCGGCCCCGGCGGCGCCGTCCGCGGGCCCCGCCGCTGAGAACGCCCTGCCCGGCGCTACGTCACGCGCGGCGGCGGCCGGGCGAACCCCCGCCTGGCGCCCGCCTCCCCGCGCCGGCCCCTCAGCTGCGAGGCGCGCTCCCCCCGGCGGCCCCGCGTCTGTCAGGGTCGCCGCGCGCGCCGCGCCGGCCTCCGCCCGCCCCGCCCCCGCCCCGCCCCTCTCCGCCCCCCTCTGCCCGCGGGTCCCTTCGCCCCCTTTCCGAGCGGACTGCACCCGGTGTCTGCTCGCTCCTTATTGGTCCTTCCCCGCCTACAAAGTCGGGGGGCGAGCACCCCGCGCCCAGCCTCCCGGTGCAGCCGGCCTCGCGGCGGGGTCTGCGGAGCGGAGGGCGCCGCGGCGGGGCTCCCGGGAGAACTTTCTGAAACTCCGCGGAGCGCTGCGTGTCCCCAGCTTAACCCTTTCCCCGCGCGCCCCGCTCTCCTCCCCGGGGCCCGCGCCAGGTCCCCTCCACCTCGCCAGGCGAGGGACCGAGTGCATTCGGTGGCATCCTCCCCGGGTTGGTTTTTCACTCCTCTCGGTAAAGGCGAGCACTACAAAGCACGGGGCCGTGTTCTAACACTGTCCAGCCCCGAGTTTGGGGCCGTTGGGGTTTGCCTGTGGAAGGCATTCCGAGCCCGGCAGCGGGACGACGCTGTCTGGAGCGGCTGCGTCCATCCAGTCTTTTACGAGCTCCGGGCTTCGGGGCGCGCGCGCGTGCGCGCCCCGGGGTGGGTGTGAGTGTTTTATTGTTATTTAGTCTGCGCTCCGGAGAGCCGACTCCCAAACCAGACTGCCGAAATCTGAATCCCGTTTCCTGCCGACCCTAGGTGGGCGGGCAAGAGACTTCACCTCTTTCTGCCTCTGTTTCCCGGACGGTTAAATGAGCTACTGACAGGATCTGCCTGTTGGAAGAATGATGATAAAATATAGCATAGTACAATATACGTTGGGGGTGTGGGGTGCGTTTACAACGTGGCAGGCACATAGGAAGGCTTATATGAGTTCTAGCTTTTTCTTCCCCTTCCCCCCCCTCTAGAGGGACTATAAATTTTCCCCGTCCAGTAGCATTTGCAGTATGGTCATCTCTGCTTGAGACGGGGTCGCAGGGAATTTCTGTAGGATAGGGGTCTGGAAATGCCACTGGTTTGTGGGAAAGGACCATATCTATTTTGAAAGAACAGGACATCCAAGAGGCTCAGATACTGAATCCAGCAAGTCACAATTTGCTGAAGTTCAGGCAAAATGTGTAAAGGAGTTCATCCTCTCATTATTTCAGATTCTTCCACCTTTGCCCAGCTGTTTACCTCTGCTAAAAATTCTCCATTTCTCCCCTCTGTGTGCTCTAACTTCCCCTCTTGGTGCATGGGACCACTCTCAACCAACTGAGCCACACCAGCCAGGCTGTACATTGTCTTTTTATTAATGTACTTTCTAACTAAGTAGTACCCTTTTAATCCCTGAGATAAATAAAATCAAGTTGACATTTACAAAAGAAAAAAAAAAGCAAGTGTTCCCTTGTCATTCCCCAACCACCTCCCTATGGCTGCCTCTTCACAGGCATAAGGGGAACTATGACTTCAGTCGTGATCATAATTAACAAGATTGTATCTTAGAACTAAAAATGGAATTATGTTCAGGTGTTCATCAGCTTTTAAGACAAAATCCGTTTTATTCAGGTCCCCTATGCTTTATGCCTGCTGTATGCCAAACACTCTACTTGATATTATAAATACAGGCACTAAATTTTTCTCCCAAATTTTAGTGAGGCCCTAGAAAATAATGACTGGTCCTGTTGGCCAAATGCCACTCATCCATGTCCTCTGTCATTCATTGTCTCATTCTATTCATTTCTAGGCAAGCTGCTTGCTTTCTAGTTCTGAATCAGATTCCTTCTGGCCGGGTAGAGTCTATTATTGTGGCCTGTGTTCTATCACACATCAACAACTATATTTATATAGTTGGGGAGGAAGCTGAAACATGTTTTTGCACACTACTAATAAATCTTGTTAAAGCAGACAGACAAGTTGCTATTTCTCCAAAACTGCCCACCTTCCCACCCCTCCCCTCACCAAATGCCACTTTTGAGTTGGCTCATTAGCCCAAAGCAAACCATTTGCCATAACAGCTTGTACATCTCCTTGAAAAAGTGTTCCCAACAAGTTTAAATATTAAAATGAATGTATTCAGATGGCTCTGCCAATAAAATGGTCACAAATAGGAAAAAAAGGTTATGCTTTCCACAGTATCCATTACACATTAATAAATAATGCTGTTCATTCACACGCCAATTAAAACAAACTCAGGCTGTCAAACGAAGTAGAAGTGAGGAGCTCAATGCTCTAATTGTTTCTCCAGGAAAACTCCCAATTTTCGTCAGATTAAGTGTGACTGGTTGACTTGCCCCTGTTCTCTTCTTCACCCAACAGCCCACTTTTCTCCCCTCTAGCCCAGGACTCCGGCTTTTCTTCCCTCGGAGTCTTTGTTTCGGTGGCAGGTATTGGAAGGCAGAGGGAAGCAATCACCGGCTCAAGGCTCACCGCTCCTTTTCGTTGCCAACAGGGTCTCACTTTTCTCTAGTGTTTTTCATTTTTCCCTCTTGTTTCTTTTTAAAGCAGTGGCTGTGCTTCTTCCTTATGGCTACTTGGTGATCTCCTTTCTGGTATGGCTCAGCCCTAGTTCATTCTTTTGCCCCACCTCTGTCTTCTCAGAAAAACTGCTAATCCACACTCAGAAAGGGCAGCACTAAAGATGGGTGGGTCTGCCCTCTCCCCCACTGATCTGGAGCGGAAGATAAAGCTGTCAGCATGAAAAAGAGTCTTGATGGAAGGTATCACAGTTGTGTAGCTTATGCTCAAGGGTATTTCCTGGAGATGAACCTTCTTCATCATACAGCCTGACTGGTCTGCCTCTGGGCAGAACAGCTCCCACCAGCACCCCCAGCCCAGTCTGAGTATCATTCTTCAGATGCCTTATCCAGCAGTGAACTTTCATTGCCGTCAATTGCACGTTTTGCTGTAGAGCAAAGCAATGAAATGATGCCTTGCAGCTTTTATGGCCAAACAAACACAAATGATGTAATTGGGAAAAGCTGTCTCCGAATAGGAGGGGGAAAATAAAGGACAATCCTTTGAGTTGGGGTGATGACCACCATTTGAGGGTCTGGGATCAAAGCTCCAGCCAGACATCAAAGCCCATTTGAATCTAATGCCAGAAGAGCCACAGTGAATTAAACATCATGTATACACTAATTATAGCTTGACCCCCACAATCCTGCTTCAGAGAGCACACACAGGGGAAAGAAAGCAGACATTGAAACAAAAGATCAAGAAAAAGGAAAGTTGGTAACAAGACTGGGCAACAGCATGGCCCTGACCACTTGAAAACTCTTTTGAGGGCAGAGGGGATAAGGGACTGGCAGCAGAAACAGCAAACTCTGGACAATGCCAGTCTTGTTTGCAAGGCTGTGTATGAAACACTCTCACTGACGCCTGCACAACCAAACACTCGTTATTCCTAGAAGAAAGGTCATCTTTTTGCTGTTGTAACGTTAGTAAAGAGGTTCCCGGGCACCAGGTTTCTGTGGAAGAAGCACAAGGTGATTCCATGAAGTTTGGGGGTCAGTGCTTCAGGAAGCTCAGGCTTGCTCACAGAGCACACCATGAGGTCCAGACACTCACATCTGTCTGGGAGTGACCTGCATTCCTCATGGTCTGAATTCATAGTCTGAATTCCTGATGTCCCCACCGACCTCGGACTTCAGTCCCTCGGCTCTGCCACTTCTGCTGGTCATCTTTACAAACGGGAGGGACAGCACCCCAACTGTGCAAATACTCCAGAACTCCGTGCCTAGTAACACCAAGAAACAGTGAATGCGACTTCATCCACAGGCGGAATTTCAAAGTGTCTCCAGACAAGTGGCCTCTTAAACGTGTTGCCCTTACTGGTCCCCATTTATCTGAAACTCTCAGTCTCATGCCCTGGCAAACCATGGCACATCGGCTTTAATAATGCAGAGAACATGTTCAATAGTATTTCTTTGTAGATAAACATTAGTGATTTCTTAAAATAACAAAATCTAAATGTACAACCCGATATCTTAATAAGAAAAAAATTTAAAAGTGAGCCTTCTTATAAAAACAAATAGACACCATCATCATTATATCACATTACTTTGATTAGTCATTTATTCAGCAGGTATTTGAGCATCTATCTAATATGTGCCAGGAACTGGGGATACAGTGGTGAACAAATCAGACACAGTCCCTACCTTCATGGAGGTTGTGGTCTAGGAGATAAACTGGCACTAATTAAATAACATACATATATGTGATATATAGATAGACAGATATATTTATGTCCAAATATATACTATATACTATATATATTTATGTCCAAATATATGTAATTCCAGATTAAGAAACAACTACTACATTTTGTAAAATAATATTTTCAAAGCAGATATATTCTGTGATTATACCTAAAAAAATTATAATCAAATGAAATTACACACAAAAAGAAAATTAATGACCTTGCCCTAGTCGAATTGGCTCAGTGGATAGAGCATCCACCTGCATACTGAAGGGTCCCAGGTTCGGTTCTGGTTAAGGACACATGCCTGGGTTTCGGACTTGGTTGGTCCCCAGTAGGGGTCGTACAGGAGGTAGCCAGTCAATGATTCTCCCTCATCATGGATGTTTCTATCTCTCTCTCAATCTCCCTTCCACTCTGAAATTAATTAAAAATATATATATTTTTAAAAGAGATTAACTACCTTTGTAAAACTTGCGTTTTTTACAAGGAAGGGAATCTTTTATATTTTACTTTTTATTGTCCTTTAAAAACAATATTTTTTTCTCCTTAAAGCTACAATTGAAATATCTATAAGGAAATACTTGCCCCATAGCAAAATAATTCAGCATTTTCCTTTAAGTCATTGAGAGGTAGTCACTAGGATGTGTAATTAAATTAAGACAACTAATCACCTTACAGATCTATTTCTGACCTTCTTCCTCAGAATACTCTCAGAAAGGAGAAAGAGAACGCGTCACTTCAACTCATGATCCTATGAGCCATTTCCCATACGGCTTACTGATCATTTCTACACCAATAGAGGCATGACCGAGGTG